GTTCGGATCAAGGTCCATCCCGATTGCTACACATTTCTCACCGTCTCCTTCGGCCAACTCAACTGTTTCAGTCTGTTGGTCCATGTCCATTGCCGATGGACTGGACTCTTCAGAATCTGGCCTGCTGCCAATGTCAGCAGGTGTCCCCGTCTTTTTGTTCTTCGGCTGGCTCTCTGAGTCTTGCGGCTCAGCTGAAGAGCTAGCCTTTTCCCTTTCGGGCCCTTTTTCTCTGGGCACAAATCCTTGGGCCGAAGCACTTAGGCCTTTTGGATTTTTTGTGCTTGGCTCTCTTTCTTTTTCTTTCTCCTCCTCATCCTTGTCGTCATCTGGGCGACTACTGGATGGCTTGAGGTAGTTGCACCTTCGGGCGTCCTTTTGGTTGCCCTGTATCCTTTCGGGGAAGCCGGCGTCTGAGACGTAAATCATCAGCTGATGATAAGTTGAGACGACCCCTTGGATCTCGTGAATTATGGGTCTCCCCAAAATCACGTTGTACACTAAAGGAGCGTCGATGACCAAAAATTCAATCATGACGTTCCGGGCTGCCTCATCGCAACCGATGGTGACAGGAAGTGTCACCTTCCCATCTGGATAAGTTGAAGCCCCATTGAACCCGGATACCGGGTAGGGTACCGGCGTAAGGTGCTTGGGCTTCAGCTTAATTTGATTGTAGGCCTTTCGGAACAGAATGTTTGCTCCACTGCCACCGTCAACAAGGACCTTACTGACGTCGTGGTTGGCCACCGTGGCGATGATCACCAACGGATCCTCGTGAGGGAACGTAATCCCCCGGAAGTCGGCGGCTGTGAACGTCATGTTCGGCACCGGCGACTGGGGAGATTGAATGTCAGCGTTGTTCACCTGGTGAGTCAAAGCTCTAAGGTGGCGCTTGTGCTCCCTCCGAGAGTATATTCCTCCCGAGATAACATTGATCGGAGGGAATTTCCCCTCCGGCTTTTTACTGTTTTTCCGGGGGAAGTCGAGGTCCTTCCGAAGGTCCTTTGCTGACCTCTCGGATTCTTTTTTCTCGCGGTGATCCGCGATGTATTTTTTCAAGTATCCCTTCCGGACCATGTCCTCTATCTGGTCCTTCAGTTGGATACACTCCTCAGTGTTGTGTCCCGAAGACTCGTGGAACTCGCACCACTGATTTTTATTTTTTCGCTGATACCACTCTGGGAGTGGTCTCGGCTTTCGGTAACTCTGCTCCTCCTTCGTCACGCTGTAAATTTTGGCGCGTGGAAGAGAGAGCGGAGTGTAGGACTCGTATCTGCCTGTGTATGAGGCAGATCTTTCCTTCTTTGGGTCGATGGCCAAAGATTGCTCCGGGGCCTTTGACTTTCCCTTTGCCTTATGGCCTTGGCCTTCAGACAAGGGTATTTGTCTCTGTTTCCCTCCCCCGAATTGAGGTTGGGTTTTCGCTTTGTTCCATTCTTCGGCTCGGATGAACTTATCCGAAGCATTAAGAGCTTCCTCCAAGGTCTGCGGGGTATGCATGACCATGAAGTCTAGGAACTTTCCGGGCTGAAGGCCATTCTGCATTGCGAAAACGGCTAGCCCCTGGTCCAGCTGGGAGACGCTTGATGACTCGTTACTGAAACGGGTCAGGTAGTCTCGGAGGCTTTCGGTTTCCCCCTGTTGCAGACTCATGAGCTCTGCGGTAGTCTTCTCTCGGCGGTTTGCCGTGGAAAACTTGCTCCTGAACTTGGAGGACAGATCATCCCACCCTGTTACGGAGCCTTGCCTTACTCCCTTGGAGATCCACGCTTGCGCGACCCCCTTGAGAGTGGTTGGGAAATATTTGCACCAAGTCGCCTCGGATCTGGGGCAAAGATGCATATGAGTCTCATACGAGGCCACGTGATCCTTCGGATCCGTGGTCCCGTCATATGTGATGTGCGACGGTATTTTAACCGTGGGTACGCGCTCTTCCAGTATCCATTGCTCGAATGGTGAACTGGCGGGTAGCATAACGGCCTTGCCCTTGTTCCTGGCCGAAGGGACCGCGCTCCGCCCTCTTAGAGAGGTAGGAGTGGTTTTCGTCCCTGGCTGGGAAGTCTGGGCCTCGGCTGCAGGGAACGAGAGGCGACTGCGCACGCTCGGTTCCTTGCCGCCGAGTCGGTCAAGGACGCTTCTGCGAACAGTCTCAGGTTCTCGGTGAGTAGATTCTGGCCGAGAAGCTGAGCTGCTGCTCTTATGCGCTTTTGGTCTTGAGGATGAGGATCCTTTTAAAAATTGAGGGTTCTTTTTCCTCTGTTTTTCATTTTTCCAGGAATCCTCCTCCCACTCTTCCAGTTCCCGGAAGGAAGGAAGCTTCCCACCATCATGGTCTAACTTCCTCCGCTGATGCCGGGTATGCGGAGGAGTTCGATCACGAGGTGGTGGCATATTTTGTGCCCTCATCGCCTCCATGAGTACTGCCAGCGCTCTTGCCACCTCTTCCGAGCTGGGCCCCGTCAAAGGGGTCCTCGGCCGAGTGTGGGAATGAGGGCGCGCAGCCGATGGTTAGCTTTGGGACACTGAATGTGTCCTATGATCGGACTCACCCCTGCTAGACCGAGAGTGACCCGGCCTATAATGAGAGTCATGAATTACGGGAGATAGGGAATCCTCCTTGTATGATCCTCCCCCGAGCCGGCACCCTTGGGAGAGTTCCGGTCCGGCGAGGGTGATGGTGTAGGGGTTTTAGGCTTTTCGCCCGCTCCTTGACGGAGGCTTTTGCTCTTGCGGTTCTTAGCCATTGCTGCTAAGATAATTGCAAGATGATCTTGGTTAGGAATTTGGCTTAAAGATTTTTGAAAGTCTTCCCCACAGACGGCGCCAAATTGTTTCGGGTGAAAACAATGGGACCTTGCCGAAGGTCCGCTGAAATGGAGAAGGCTGGATTCGGTCCAAGTTATGTTGGGCCGAAGGTTTCCTGCACAGTAAACACACGTAAACTAGCCTCGGGGGTGTTGCTGAGGAAGGCCCCTCCGATGCTAAAGTCAGTACAATGTGTAAGAAGAGGACACTATGCAAGAGAGTTTGTTGCTTGAGGCTTTTATGGAATATATCAGAATATATGAATGAACATATGAATCTATATATGAATAATCTATGAATGTATCAATATTGATGGCTTTTATACCTCATCATACATGGAGAGGTTGGGCCTTAGCCCAATTGGCTTGCTTTGTGGGCTGACCTTTGACTTTAGCACAATTGGAGAGTTGAACCTTGACCTTGGACTTTTAATTGGATCATTTAGTGCTTAGGCCCAATTGGACTAAATTGGACCCAAACAGTTATGAAGGACATGATAAAATTTTCCAACAAAGTTGCATACATCAGTTTCCGTCAACTTTTTGTTCAAGTCAACTTCTATTTTATCTGAAGAGGAGTTTAGGCAGCTTCTGGCATGATACTGTGCAGTAAAATATTAGAAATGTAAACCTATAAACTATAAGAGAAATAAGGATGACTAATTAGTACTGTAACAAGTGTTATATTGGCTTATTTCATAGTCTGCATCAGTCCGATTTTAAATGTCCATATTTGAATAAATCACAATGAAATCACCATAAAAATATTACATAATTTTCACAACACTTTATCCACATTGCCTCTTGAAAAAAAGTTCAGCACAATTGAAATAGGAACCATGGACAGCAAAAAAAATGATTAATGTAAACCATAATCACATGCATCAAGTATACTTTTGTTATATATACTCTTCATTTCATTTTGCGTCAATGCAAGTATCAGATCCTCAACACTCGAACATGGATAAGATACTTTGACCCTTCATTTTAAACCCTTCATTAGAGCACACTCATGTCAAACACTTGAACACGCCTATCTAGAGCACAATTGCCTGGAAACACGAGTATGCCTCTAGAAACTTGGCACTTTTCTCCAATCCTTTACTGATATCCAACGTTAAAACTCAACCAAAGGCCACCTTGTGGGACTTGGTCTATGGTCTTTTTCCCCGTGGGGTTTGGGGGTCGCAGAAATATAACCTCACATGAGGGAGAGACTAAAGAGGTCCCCCCAGCTATAAAGAGGAGAAAGGTTGATTGGAATATTTTTGGACTTTGGCAGTGTGTGAAGAGTAAGGGTCCCAAATAGGTAGAAGACTTGGGTCAACTTCGTTAATGCACAACACAATGATGTCAAATTTTTAATACTCATAAGTGCGCTTGTAGACAATCAAACCAAACCTATTTTAAAGAACCAATTCAAATTCAAAAGGAATTTGGGGGAGGAAACAAAACAACATTACCTAAACTCAAGTAAAAACAAAATTTACCAAGTTTATTAACCGATAAGGCAAATTGACTATTGACCTAAATTTAATCTCGTGTTTTTAATATCAATAAATTTATCACTCACTTTGTAACCAACTAAATTATTTACATTGTATGTAGCACACATATCGAAGGGTAAATATTGTATTGGTATACCTTGCCCCTTGTATTATTTTGATAGGTAACATTTTACCCCTTGCCCAACAAATTAATAAAACAAATGCAAAACAATAATGAAACAACATAAATTTGTAAAGACTAGAACTTCATTAGATAATAATCATATAAATGTTAAATATTTACTTGTTAACAAAACCAATGAAAAGAGAAATAGAGGATAGATTCTTCATCTAACAAGGGAAGGACCTCAAATAGTTTTCCATTAGGAGAGGGATGTGGAATGGCCTTAACCACCACTTTGCTTGGTCATCTTAGTTTGGCCAACTACGCCAAAGATGGGCAGCTAGCTTAAGAGAGTTATTTGTATATGATAGCCTCAGCCATCAGCTTTAAGCTTTTTGTTGAGTATGAAGGAAAAATAAACCGTTGGCTTAGTCAAAAACCAGAATAGATAGGACCCATAATTTACTTGAACCTCTAAAACCAAACACACATTCTTCAAAATATCACAGCTAATCAAATGCAGATCCTTTCGCAAATGACAAGTTCAATATTTGACAAGTAATAGTAGAGCAGCTGAGCAGTATTAGCCAACCATCTTTTGCCCCTTCAACCAGGCTGTCTTACTGTTCTCACCCCCAAGCCCCTCCTTGATGTGCTCTGCGTTGATTTTGACAGAAGCAGCATCTTTCCCTTCCATTGGAACACTTCGGTGATCGGTATCCACAAATTTGCAGTAGCCTTAGCTTCTGTTTGGGAAAATCATAAAAAATTCCTTGTGCCCTTTGATTTTTCACCTAGTGCTTTAGCCAATCAACAACCAACCACGGCTAGAGATGGCCGAAAAAGTTACTTCTTTAGCCGTTAGAAAACGTTGTTGAACAGCTAGAGCAAGTACCATCAATAGTTAAAGAGACACAAAAATTAAAATCTCTCAGAAGTGTCAAAATAAAGCTTAGTACTATTAGCACTTCACTCGAAAAGATTCATAGCCAAGAGTATGAACCAGATGTAGCTTACGAGACACAGGAAGTGGTTGATTTCATTGTTGTGGATAATCAGAAGAGTAAGCTGGGAAGGTTGATCTCAAGAGAAAAGGTAACCAAACATCAAGTTGATAAGATAGAGAACATAGAGAACAAGATTGGCAGCATCGATTCCTTCAAGGATGATGCCGGATCAAACAAGGAGTCTCATCATAGCCACCGTTCAATCAGCTTCAAGAAAGATGAGGTAGTAGGATTCGGAGATGCCCAGGAGACTTTGGTGAGAAAGCTTATTGGTGATGCCAAAACACAGCTTGATGAGGTACTTTTGATCCATGGAAAGGCAGGCTCTGGCAAAACAACTTTGGCCAAGATGATCTGCAATGATGGTCGTATCAAAGAACATTTTGGCGACCCAAAGTGGATGTCCTTTCCACAAGAACTCCCACTTGAAGAATGGTTATTTAGAAACTTGAAATCCACCGGCTCAACAAGTAACCAAATTGATTGCCTTTCCAAGGATGAGTTGAAGAACAGATTTTGGGAAAGTTTAAAAGGCAAGAGGTACCTCGTAGTCATTGACAGAGTTGAAAATGATGATGAATTGGATGGGCTTATGTCCTTATTTCCAAACGAGTCAAATGGCAGTCGAATATTGATAACCAGTCGAGTGCCACAAGCAGATTTATATGTACAGCAAAGAATTTCATTTTCATATGAAGTCAAACCACTAGATGAAAACCAGAGCTGGCAGCTCTTATCAAGGAAAGTACTTGAAGGGGAAACTCATTCAGACCTAGAGGACCTCGGTAAAAAATTGGCAGAGAAGTGTAAGGGTTCACCCCGGAAAATTGTGGCCTTGGCAAGAATCTTGAACGATGCAGAAAAAACAGCAGAGATGTGGTCAAAAATTGAAGAAGGCTATGCTGACATTTCTAATTATTATGATCTCCTTAAAGATTGCAAAGACCTAAAGTTATTATACTTTGGTCTTTTTCCGGAAGATGTTAGTATATCTGCAAAGCAAATGAACCAAATGTGGATGGAAGAAGGGCTACTGAAGAAAAAGGGCAGCAAAGAAGCAGAAGAAATTGGAGAGGAATACTTGAAGAAACTCATTGACCAATCCGTCATCCAAATAGACACAAGAAGGGCTGATGAAAGTGTGAAAACATTCCGTGCATCCAGTCACATCTCCCATTTTTTAATAACTGACGGTGCAGCTGCAGAGTTTTTCGAGGTTCACATGAATAACAATCTCAAGCCTAATACAGATATAAGAAGGAAGGTGATTCATAGTGAATCAGTCACAGATGTCCTGAAAACCTTTGGGAACTGCTCTGCTAAGTCTCTTCATTGCTTTGGCAAGAATAGTCATGATACCCCTATCTGCTCAGAACGCTTTTGGGAAACTCTACTCAACAATTTTCCCCAACTCAGGGTATTAAATTTGGGTTTTCTAGAGTTAAATAAGGTGCCTAAAGAGCTAGGCAAACTGAAACATTTAAGGTACTTAAGGTTGAGGGTTCCAAATGCCAAACACCTGCCATCTTTTATTGTCAACCTTCAACAATTGGAGACATTAGACATGAGAGAATCTTGTTGTCCCATTAAGTTACCACATGGAATATGGAAGATGCAGTTTCTCAGACATCTTTACCTTGGGGCCTTTACTTATCTACCAAAAACTAGTGGTAGTGCCCTTTCAAATCTACAGACTATCTCTGGTGTATATTCAGACAAGAATCTGAAGTGGCTAATGGTCAGGGCCAAGTTCCCTAATGTTAGAAAATTGAGAATATGCAGTTTCGACTCAGATCTCACATGTAATTTTCTAAATAGCCTTGACCATTTATACCATCTTCAATCTCTAAGGGTAGAAAAAAGCACAAAACTTCCACCAGACCAAAATGCATTCCCCTTGAGCCTTACCAAGCTAACCCTCTTGGAGACTAAACTACAGACAGAATGTTTCAAGACACTAGAGAAACTACCTAATCTAAGGATCCTTAAATTACTTGAAAACGCAATTATTGGAGAAGAAATTGCGTGCAGTGATGGAGGATTCCTGCAGCTTGAAGTTTTGTACGTAGAAAAAGTGATTGTGAAGAACTGGAGAATGAGTAAGGAGGGGATGCAATGTCTTAAGTGTCTCTTCATCAAAGAATGCAATGGTGATATTTTGGCCACAGATCCAGCTAACCTGAAGGCAAAATTAATCAAGGAGAATGGAACCGCATGACAGGAATTCGCAGAGGCTGCAACAATTCTCAGGGAAGGATGAAGTTCTGCACTCGTCTTCGACTAATGGCCAAAAGAGCAAGGAAAAGTTTTACACATCTGTGTGTTCAAATGTAATACTTAATTATTAAAATTGTTATGTAAACAGTCTGTACTATTTGCGAATGCTTATCCAAAACGTTTTATTGTTGCTTTCTACATGCACCCTCAAACCCCCTCCCCCTCCATACAAGAAAAGAAGCATGTCTTCAGAGGTAGTTATTATGTTTGGCAGTAACATGGGTTTCAGTCTACCAAACTTACAAGAATGCAACCGACAGAATAGAACGATAAGTTATTGTCTATACATGATTACATGGTACATAAGGAGCATCGCAGATTGAAAAATTAGGAAATTAGCAGAAACTGGTAGAGGCCCAAGAGCGACGGTCACAAATATATTGAATAAACTATTTCTAGTTTGTCTAGGAAAAATAATACCCCCTTCATCCCAAGTGAGTCCATAACTTTGCTCATATCATTTAACTAATACACAATGTAAAATAATATGTCGATTTGCTACAATAATACTCCGTATAATTGTAGCATAATCAAATACGAAGGAAAATAAAATATTCGTAGTAGTTATAGTCAAAGCAGTGCCTAGGAGACCATGCAAATTTAAATATAGCTGTTGAGTCCCTTAGGTTTTGATTGATAGTTTTGAATGATGACAAACAGCTAAGGGAAACAGGTCTTTGAAAGTGTTCAATACAGTTGGGGGAACCAACTATAATAGAACACTGTTTTCCTAGATAAGTTATTGATTATATGAGTTATCTATTGAACTAACTTATCTATATACAGGAAACAGTTAGATGATAAATGTGTTATGTACTGGTGGGGAACCAGTATGAACCGTTTCCTTGACTGATATGCGGAAAAGCAGTCACATACTCTTTATTGTGCATTAACCATGTTACATGTGCAGTAGTTGAGTTGATTCCATGACTTGGAGCATAGAAGCCTTTCGAAGATATTTCGAAGAAAGATTGTTTGCTCATAATAGAAGTATTCAAGGAAGATTCAAGTCTTGAAGATTACATGAAGAAAAGACGATTTATGCTTTAATATGTTATCTAGGTTTTCATGTAATATGCTCCGTAGTATGCTTGCATGTTTGGGTTATATAAGTGCTTAAAAGTATATTGAAGTATGATATGAAATCTGGTACAAAGTTGGAACAGGTTTCATAACATGTTTCAATTCAGGGAACCAGGTCGGGGAACCAGGTTCACTGTACGAAATATTCGAGCTGCCGTTTTGGAAAAAGATTTTACAAAAAGATTTTTTCGAAAAGATTATTTTTGAAAATATTTTGTGCAGCTGGAAATAAGATGAAATATTCTTGGTTACCTAAAAACTAGGAGTATTTATCTTAATTGATTCTATCTTTGTGATTAAATCAAATAAGATAAATACTTTCCTAAAATTACAATATATCTTATTCTCTAAGATTGTGTGATTTAAGGAAACTAGGTTTTAGGAATCTAAGCTTATATAAACTCATCTTATTTCACATATTTCGAGTGCCTCTCTAGAAATTAAAAGAGAAATTATTTGAGAGCATATACTTAAGCACTAATCCCATTCATCAAGTTATATACAAGAGCATTCTAGTACTTAAACAATTTTCTCTTAATTAGCTTCGTAGAAGTGAGATCAAAGGAGAGTTCTTGATTCTTGTATTGAGTCTTTAACAAAGGGGTTAAAGGCTGGGTGAGTGTTTGTGAGTTCAAACACATTGGGCTTACGAGTGTAAGTCGAGAGCACACTCGGAGTAGAGTGTGGGGTTTGCTGGTTCCCGGAGTAGGGAAACAGCAGAGTGTTCTTTGTCTTTGTTTTTCGGAGTAGATTAATAAAGAACTTAGGATAGGAGGACGTAGGCCTGAGTTGGCTGAACCTCGTTAAATTTGTTGTCTTCTTTATTGCTTATTTATATTCCGCTGCGTACGGGAACCAGCACAACTGGTTCCTCACACATAATCCGAAAAGAAGCAAAATTAGCCAACGATTACTTAACACTCAATTCACCCCCCCCCCCCTCTTGAGTGCCCATTGAACCTTCAATTGGTATCAGAGCCTAAGCTTCTCGAAAGAGTAACATCTAGAGGAGTTAAGAATGAGTACTCAAGAATTAAGTGCAATCGGTTATGACAACAAGTCACCCAAGTTTAATGGAAATAATTATGCTTGGTGGAAGAACAGGATCCAGAATGTTATCATGGGTATTGATTATGAATGCTGGCTCGTAGTTAAAAATGGTCCTAATATCATTCTCAAGACAGATGTTGAGGGGAACCAGGTTCCCAAGAAAGATAGCGAATTGGTCACTGCTGATTACAAGTTGCTGGAGAAGAATGCTAAGGCAATGTCAATACTACAACAAGAAATAGGTGAGACCGAAATAAATCGTATATCTGGCTGCAGTAGTGCTAAGGAGATATGGGACACCCTTGAACTTGCGTTTGAGGGAACCAGTGAGGTAAAACGGTCTAAAATTGATTTAATCATGTCTAAATATGAATTGTTTACCATGAATAAAAATGAAAAAATCAATGATTGCTTTCGTAGGTTTATGACTATTGTAAATGATCTTAGATCTCTTGGTAAAAATTTATCTGACGAGGATCTTGTGAGAAAATTATTGCGTAGTTTAACAGATGCATGGACAGCCAAGGTAACAGCAGTATACGAAGCAAAGGATCTGTCTACCTTGTCTCTGGAACAGCTGATTGGTTCCCTTATGACTCATGAGATGCTGATTGACTCTAAGTCTCAGAAGGAACCAGCCATAGGCATGGCGTTGAAGGGAACAGTAGAGGAAGAAGAAGATGAGATTAGCATGATTGCTAAAAGATTTGAGAGATCTCTTCGAGATCAAAGGAAGAACTTCAAAGGTAAGAATTTTAAAAACTATAAAAAATCTAACTCTAATTCTTCTTCTACAGGATGTTTCAAGTGTGGAGAAAAAGGACATCTTATTCGAGATTGTCCTAAGTGGAATGACAAACAGTCTAAATCCGGAGATAAACAAGCATACAAGAATGCCATGATAGCTTCCATGTGGGGAGACTCTGACTCAGGGTCAGATGAAGAAGAAGGATCACCCAACTCAGATGTTTGCCTAACTGCCTTTACAAACATCAAGGAAAACAGCACTGGTCCAGGAACCAGAGGGGGAACCAGTACATTCAACAAATGCTTTATGGCAAAGAAGGATGTACTACATGAACGCAAGGTAAGCTTAGAGCAAATTAGAGAAGATATGCATGAATATGATAGAGAAAATATGCTTGCTTGTATTGATTCCTTACTAGATGAATGCTATAAACTAAGTGAAACATACATAACTTGCAAAAGAGAATTAAAAGAAAAACGTGGTGAATGTAATATTGCTATTGCTAGTTGTGATCATCTAGAAGGAGTCTGTTATGAACTAAAAAATCAAGTAGCAGAACTAGAGGTTGAATTGGACAAGTGTAAAGTGGAACTAGAAAAGGAAAGATCGTTTGAACCAATTGATGGTGAAGAGGATCTGACCTCCTGGTTCCCTAGAGACTTATCAACCACTAGTGATACTCTTGATTTTTCAGTAGCTATAAGTAAAGCAAATTCGTGTACTAGAACTTCCTTGTTGAAGGCCTTTGAAACATTGGTTTACAACCTGGAAAACTCTCACAAGGAAATTGCTTCACTTAAAGCTGCACAGTTCACTGTTTCCCCTACAGGTACCAGTGTAGATGTCAGTAATACGATTGATAAGTATGAAAGTAATATTTGTGATTTACATGCGGAAATCAATCAACTGAAAAAGGACAAGCAACCAGTGGTTGTTGACATGTCTATTGACTCTATGGTTTCAAAGCTTAATCTACAATTCGAAGCTTTAAAAAGTAACTTTGATTTTCTTAAAGAGAAAAACGAATTGTTAACTAAAACACTTGAAACCAGAGAAAAAGAACTTAATGATAGTCATAGACATGTGGACAAATTATTGAATGCTCAAGAATCCTTAAATTACCTGACTTCATCAAGAGGAAACAGAGGAAAAGTTGGTCTTGGTTATACCTAGACAGAGAACCAGGACTAACTGGTCTCCCAGAGAAACCACCTGGATCAAAGAATATCAACGAGGCAAGTATGTCATGACTAAAGAGATGCATGTGTGTTTTCATTGTGGTAAAAATGGACATAAGATACATGAATGTCCAGCTAAGAAAATTAGTGCTAATAAGAACAGCAAGGGTGTAAAATATGTGTGGAGAAGAAAGGATCAACAAGATGTTAATGTTGTTGAAAAGGGACCCAAGTATGTTTGGGTTCCTAAAACTAATGTTTGATTTGCTCTTGCAGGCTAGAGTGAAGGGAGACACCTATTGGTATTTGGACAGTGGTTGCTCAAGACACATGTCCGGGGATAAAGATCAATTCCTTTCACTAGTGGCCTTTGATGGAGGAAGTGTCACCTTTGGGGATAACAGCAAGGGAACCATCACTGGTTTAGGTAAGGTTGGTAAGACACTTTCTAACGCAATAGATGATGTTTATTATGTTGAAGGCTTGCAACATAATCTCTTGAGTATTTCTCAATTATGTGACAAAGGTAATATAGTTGAGTTTCAAGCCAACCTATGTCACATAGTTAACTCACAAACAGGAGAACTTGTATGTGAGGGAACCAGGAAGCATGATGTTTACATCACCTTCTTAGATAAAATCCCTCAAGACAAGTCCATCTGTTTGAGAGCTGTTTCTGACAATAATCAATGGATTTGGCATAAGAGGTTTGGACATGCTAGCCTAACACTTCTAAACAAACTTAAAACACGTGACTTAGTTGTAGGCCTTCCTAACATTAAGTATGAAGCTGATAAAGTTTGTTCTGAATGTGTAAGGGGGAAACAGGTCAAAATTTCTTTTAAGTCTAAAACTGTTTTGAGTACCAGCAGACCCTTCGAACTTGTACACATTGATTTGTGTGGTCCCATGAGAGTACAAAGTCGAAGAGGTCATAGATATGTCTGTGTTATGGTTGATGATTATTCTAGGTACACTTGGGTAATGATGTTACACACAAAGGATGAAACGTTTGAAGAATGGGTAACATTGGTGAAACAAGTGGAGAACCAGCTCACCCACAAGCTGGTCTCGGTAAG